CCCCTCCTACTTCTTCCCCCCCCAATATGGCATACAATCTGATATAGGCTCTACTTATACATTCATGTTAAGCGTATTTTCCCATTAGTCATGATGAAAAGAATAATTAGAACTAATAGGAGAATGAAGCAATATAACAAAACAACAAAAGGAAAGGAGAGCAAATAGTATGCTGCATTCAGACTCCATGATTTCTTTCTCTGGGTATGGACAGCAATTTCCATCATTCATGAATCTTTTGGAGTTGTCTTAGATTCTTGCGTTGCTGTGAAGAGTCAAGTCTGTCAAAGTCAGTCATCCCATAATGTGGCTGTTACTATGTACAACATTTTCCTGGTTCTGCTCACTTCACTCTGCATCAGTTCATGTAACTCTTTCCAGGTTGTTTTTTTTTTAAGTCCTCCTGCTCATCATTTCTTCTAGCACAGTAGTATTCCATTGCATTCATATACCACAACTTGTTTAGCCATTCCCCAATTGATGAGCATCCTCTCAGTTTCCAATTCTTTGCCACCACAAAAAGAGCTGCTATAAATATTTTTGTACATGTGGGTCCTTTTCCCATTTTTATGATCTCTTTGGGATACAGATCTAGAAGTGATATTGCTGGGTCAAAGGGTATGCACAATTTTATAGCCCTTTGGGCATAGTCCAAAATGCTCTCCAAATGGTTGGATCAGTTCACAACTCCACCAACAATGCATTAGTGTTCCAATTTTCCCACATCTTCTCCAACATTTATCATTGTCCTGTTTTGTCATGTTGGCCAATCTGATAGGTGTGATGTGGTACCTCAGAGTTGTTCTGATTTGCATTTCTCTAATCAATAGTGATTTACAACATTTTTTTCATGTGACTATAGATGGCTTTAGTTTCTTCCTCTGAGAACTGTCTGTTCATATCCTTTGACCATTTATCAATTGGGGAATAACTTGTATTCTTATAAATTTGACTTAGTTCTCCATATATATTGGAAAAACAATTTTTAACATTCATTTTTAAATTTTTGAGTTCCAAATTCTCTTCCTCCTTTGAGAAGGCAAGCAATTTGATATAGATGTGTAGTCATGCAAAATACATTTTGATTTTAGTCATGTTGTAAAGGAAGACATAAACCAACCCCCCCCCCCAAAAAAATAAAGATTTTTTAAAAAGTGTCCTTCGATCTGTGTTCACACTCCATTGGTTCTTTCTCTGGGAATGGAGAGCCTTTTTCATCATCAGGCCTTCAGAGTTGTCTTAGATCATTGTATTGCTGGGAAGAGCTAAGTCATTCACAGCTGATCGTCTTACAATATTGCTGCTACTGTGTACAATATTCTCCTGGTTCTACTCACTTTACTTTGCATTAATTCATGTAAGCCTTTCCAGGTTTTTTCTGAGAGCATGCTGATCATCAAAGTCTCAAAGCCTATCTCAAAAGATGCCCGCTTTGGTAGGCTTTACTAATCTTGGGTTTCCTGTGAATGCCTAGTATCTGAAGGTTAGCCAGGGGCAGGCAGGTGGTGCAGTGGATAGAGCACCAGGCCTGAAGTCAGGAAGATCCATCTTCCTGAGTTCACATCTGGCCTCAGACACTTACTAGCTGTGTGACCCTGAGCAAGTCACTTCACCCTGTTTGCCTCAGTTTCCTCATCTGGAAAATGAGCTGGAGAAGGAAATAGCAAATGACTTCAATATCTTTGCCAAGAAAATCCGAAATGGGGTCACAAAGACACAACTGAAACAGTTGAACAACACCACAAAGTGAAGGTTAGCTAGGTCAGAGAGGTTGGCCTGTGGGGTTGGGGGGGTGGGGGAAGGCCTCTCAAAACGGCCTTCTGCCGTGTTGGAAAGAGGCCCTGGTTAGCAAGTATGGAGGGAGTGCCTGCCCACCCCCATAACCCCAAGGATCCTTCAGGCACAAGTCTGAAGTACTTTTTCCTTCTGCCTTTCCCAAACATTCCCAAACCTCCCTCAGTACTCCCCATTTCAGCTTAGAGCCCGCCAGCCTCCAAGGGAGGTCTGGCGGTATGTTAACCAGCCCTTCGTGCCCACGCTGGAGCTCTTTGGCCCCTTGTTGACTCCCCACACAGATCACAGGATCTAGAGCCAGAAGGGAGTCATCTTGGGGGTCATCTAATCCAATCCCCTCATTCTTCAAAGAAACAGGCCTGATGTTTGTAAAGTATAAGCCGCCTGAGGGCAGGGAGAGTGCCACTTTTCTCTGTATTCCCAATGCCTGGCTGTGGCAGTCACCCAGTTCATGTTGTTGGATTGATTCTACGGGCTTGAACACTTCATGGCGCACATTCAACTTCCGGGTCATTTATCAGAAGCTTTAATGAGGTACATCCTAGCACAAATCCCTCGGGGACACCACTGCTTGTGATTCCCCATTCACAGAAGGGTCTAGTTCTGACTCTTCTGTTTCTTCTCCGAAAGAGAGCTTCCTATCCGTGACAAATCAGCTCCTAATGCCACAGTGACTCAAACGTTTTTAGTATTAGGTAAAAAAATCTTGCCAAAGACTTTATGAACGGTTAAATCCCACCCCCTGGTTTCCTAGTAGCCACATGCTCATGGCTAAGTCAGACATGAGTGTTACTTGCCTCCACAAAAAGCATTCAATAATTCTCCCTTCTGTCGGTGAGTCCGCCAGCTTGCCCAGGATAGTGGTGAGTCTGACTCAGCCGTAGTTCCCAGGCAGGTAAGGCTCAGGGAAGGCAAGAGTCATTAAAATCAGCCTACAGTGGCATAAAGAGCACGGGATTTGGAGGCTCTTGGCTGTCACCTTCTCCCTCCCGCACCCACTGGGCTGCCATCTTCCTCTTCAGTAAAATGAAAGGGTTAGACTAGACAGCCTCAAGGCCCCTCTCAGCTATACTCCTGTAGGCTGACATTGCTCTAGGGGTTTAATATTTATAAAGCACTTTTCACCCTTTATTTCATCTGGTCCTCACAATAAGGCTCAGAGAGATTATCAGTGGTCGCACAGCTGGTGAGTGCCCATAGTGGGATCAGAACCCAGTTGACTTCTTTCTCTCCCCTGTAGCACACTGCCTCTCGGGGCACAAATGAACATAGTAGTATAGTGTTTGATAAGCCCAAAGAATCCCAACGTCTACGATAAGGACTCGCTACTGGACAAAACCCGTTGGTAAAACTGGAAAGCAGACTGGCAGAAATTAGAGAGCAGCATTTGCACCATCTACACAGATAAGCTCCAGATGGATCCGTGATCTATATAAAAGGTCATATCACTGATGAATTCTAGCAATAGAGAAACAACCAGGAACTATCCCCACTAATCCATGTGACCCAAAACCCTGGATAGGGGAGGAGCTCCTGACCAAACAAGGGATGAAGAGGAACAAAGAAAGTAAAAACCGCCTCTCAGGACAAGTGCACCTTGTCAGACGGAAGCTTATTGTCTTTGTTTTAGCACACAGTTGGCACTCAATAAATGTTGAGTTATGTTGCAACACCGACTGTTTTACCTGCTGTTTATGAATTAGGTCTCAAACAACAGCTGACATAGCCTTCCACTCTCTCAAAACCAATCCAGCAAACATTGATCAAGCACCTACTATGTGCAAAGCACTGGTCTTGTGGGAGCCAGGACTGCCTCAAACATCAAGGCAAAGAAGGCACTTAGGGTCTCTCTTCTCCCTGCCACATGGAGCCAGCCTTTCTACTGCCATCACCACCACTGGACACTCAAGATGTCTTGCCTCTGAGATTGAAGAGTCTTGCTATGGTTGGTACTGGAGCCCCCCGGCAGTGAGGTGTCCTCTCCTTTGCTCTGCCCTATCTCTAATTTGCCTTCGCCATGGCGGGTCTCCACACAGCCCTGACCTCATGAACACACGTCCTAAGGTTTTGTTTTTGTTGCTTTTGTAGTTTCCATCAGGGGAAGATGAGCTCTTGGGTGAGTTTTTGGGCTTTGCTTAGTGTCAATCTCAGTGATGATACGGGCCTTGGTTTTTCCATCATCCGAGTCTTTTCAGTCCTTAAGATCATAGAGTCACAAGAACTGGAAAGCATTCATGATCACCTGAGCCCAAACCCTCTCCTTTTATAGAAGGGGAAAATGAGGCAGAGAAAGGCAAGGAGCTTGCCCTAGATCATAGAGGGAGTCAACATCAGACCGGGTTTTAAGCCCGGGGGTTCCTCGGCCCATAGTTATTTATTCTAGGATTCCGGTAAGATTTTTTTTTATATGTATTTGATATATTTTATATATCAATTGATTTTGTAATTTTCAAAGTGCTTGAATAGCCATTGCCCCTTCTCAGCCTCACAGCCTTGAAGGCTGGTACCATTCTCTCCATTTCACAGATGAGAAAACAGTCTCAGAAGTGAAGGCATTTGCCCAAGGTTACATGGTAAGTAGCAGGGCTTCAGACCCCTCTCAAGTTTTTCCATTTCATCCTCTACCTCCAGGTTTCCTGTGGGCCACAACTTGGTTACTCTGTGTGGTTCACAGATGAAATGAGGCCTCTTTATACCCAGAATGGGTACAAACCCCAGTTGGGACGATTCAGGAAGGAGGCAAGCAGACTGGTGGGAGCTCACCAAGGGGCCCAAAGATTGCTTCCCATTTTAACTCATGATTCCTAGCGGCCAAAAGACTTTCAGGGCCCCCTGCATGCAGCTGCCCCTGGACAAAGGCCTGGTCACTCTGGCCAGGCTCTTTCCTAACAGATGCTTACATAGTCTACTCCTCCCTCCGGGCTTCAGTCCTTCCACTCCAGCCAAGCAATCCTCCCTCCTGCTGGGGTCCAGGCCATCACGTGCTCCCCACCCCAGTCGACGTAGGCCCGGGCCCTGCCCCTGTTCAGAAGGCAGCCTCTGGAAGTCCAGAATAGAAGCATGGTAGCCCTGGAAATATGCCTGAGCAGCACCTGGCGTCACGGGCCACGTGAATGTCACGAAAAGCAAACACTTGGCGTCTCCAATGAGGGGCTACAGCAGAAATGCTCCAGGCCTTCACACCACCCAAATAACCACAGAACCCAAAGGAGGAAAACCGGTGGACTTTAATACCAATACAGTTCTCTGTTAAATACCATGTCCCAGGGCCATGAACAGGGGCCCCAGGGGCCAACACCTCCCTGGGGGATGGAGAGCTCCTGGAGGGGGAGCCGGGAATGTAGGGGCGCATGGCCGGTGGAGGACGAAGTCACAGCAACTTGGTCTTCTCCAGTTATTGCAGAGCTGTATTTTGGGGGATTCCTGCCCCCCTCCCTGCCCCCGACAAACACACAGGACACATCTCAGGAACGTCATCTCCCGGCCTCCTCAGCTGAACGGAAAGGGCCCACAACCCCAGGCTCTGCCCACGGGGCACGCTGGCAGGGCCCTGTGGCCTGGGCATGGAGGCGAGGTCAGCAGGGTTCAGTAGCTACTCTGGTGGCCGGTGAGAATGTACAGATTGCTTTGAGCCCCAGGGTTGTCTGTAGGGGTGCTCTGCAGGACGATGTCTCTGGTGGGAGGAGACAATGGCGGGACAAAGAGAGGAAGATGGGGCTGGGATGGGGAAGCGGGCCAGGCAGAGCAGAGGAAAGCCAGGGCATGTCCATAAAGGCCCCCAGGCCTGGCCTCGTGGGGCCTGGCCAACTCCTGGAAGCTGCTTCTGCTCAGCCATGGTACTGGGGACTTTACCTGCAGCCCCACAGCTTTCACCTCCTGCTCTTTCTAAACTCCCCCAACCTCAAGATTCTCTGTCTTGAGGCCTCTTAGACCTTCCTTTTGACTCCTGGGCTGAGACACCTGCTGGACCCACCTCTAATCCCCACCTTCCTCTTCTGCCTCTCCCACCCTAACCAGCATCTGCTCGCTCTTTCCCTGTTTCCACACGGAACAGCCCCCTTCAGAAATGACCCAGCAAAGTAAGGTAACAAGATGGCCCTACGCTCCTCAGTATCCCATCTCCTGGGGAACTCCACCTTGCTTTCCTCGAGGTTGGGGGTGTCTGGCTGCGGAGAATGGCCAGCCAGAAGGCCCCCACATTTCCCATCTGCCTGGGCTTTCCAGATTGCCCTCATTGGTCCATTCTTCAAACCCCAGGCTCACTCTCAGTCAATCAGGAACCCTCCCCAGCCCCCACAACTTCTCCATTGACATTCGGTCAACTTCTGGCCATCCCTACCACCCTGGTCCCCTCAGCAAGGCTCCCACTCTTACCGATGGGCCCCGAGCACTTGGAATATCCTCGTCTCATCGGTGATCTCCTGAGTCAACTGGGGGAGAAAATGAGGGGCATGACAAGCAGGAGGCATCCTGGCCCTGCTAGGGAACCCCCCCCCCACCTCCAGGGGCCCAACCTCACCTCATTTGTCTCCAGGCTCCGCCCCTGCATGCCATGCTGCCAAAATGCCAACACGCTGTCCTGCAGGCAGACTGAAGACCCGGAGAGGGTCAGCAAGGCCCTAAGGGCCCGGAGCCACCCCCTCATCTCTGCTCCCACACCTCCCATCTCCACATATGCCACAAGACCTTAGATCTAGGGCTAAAAGGGTCCCCTGAGGCAACCTGGTCCACCCTCCCATTTTACAGATGGGGAAACTGAGGCTCCAGGGACTAAATGACCTGCCCAAAGTCAGCAGGCAGAACTTGCCCAGCCAGTGGCCTCCCAGGCAAGGTTCCCACAAACGTTTTCCGTCCTGATAGAACGGTCCAGATCATGTCAGCACACTGGCCTGCCCATCTGGCCACCAATCAACATTTATTAAGCATCTCCCCGACATGAGCAAGGCCTGGGGCTGGGAACTGGGCAGAGGAAGATGAACTGGGCCGGGGAGGGGGGGCCCTGCCCTCAAGGAGCTCACAGTCTACCAAGGGGAAGTACTGGGAGGGAGGTCATAGAGAGCCGGGCCTGGAGTCAGGAAGAGCTGAGTTCAAATTCAGCTTCAGACACTCACTAGCTGTGTGATCCTGGCAAGTCAATTAACCCGTTTGCCTTAGTTTCTTCATCTGCAAAATGGGGAGGGGGTTGGGCTTGATGGCCTCTGAGGACCTAGGCCTTGTAGCTCTAGGTCCAGGTCCTGTAAGTGACCTTGGAGAAGTATGGAACCTTTCTGGGCCTCAGTTCCAATGATCCTGCGAGGAGGGACAAAAGCCTTTCTGCCGTTGGCAGAGCAGGGAAGGCTTCCTGGAAGGGGCGGCACCCAGCCTGAGCCTTGGAACAAGGTAGCCCGAGATGAGCACAGCCTTCTCGGGCCTTCGTAAATGCCCGTGGTGGGCAAGGACATAACAGCCGGAGGCTGTCGGGTGCTCCCAGGTCCACAAAGCATCTGCAGGGGATCTCATCAGATCCTCACAGCAGCCCCATTTCACGGAGAAGGAGATGGAACCAGACAGGGCAGGGTGACTCGCCCAGGGTCACGTGGCTAGAGAGTGTGAGGCTGGATTTGAACTCGGGTGCTTCTGCCTCCGCCGTCCCCCCAGAGCAGCCTGCTCCCGCGGCCCGGCACGTACCCGGAGCGTGGCCTCCCACCCAGGCCACCCTAACGGGCGGGCGCGCCTTGGGCACCTCTGGGCAGGAAGGGCTGGAGAGCAGGGCTGGGAGGGGAGGGAGCGGCCTGCAAAGGGATTTGGCCCCTGGATGTCAGCAGGGCAGAGGAGCCCCACCTCTGGGCCAGGGCCTGGGGGCGTGGATGCCGGGGTGGCTTGGCTCACCTGAGAGGGGCGTGCCGGGACCACGATGGGGAGCACACACTGCCTCACACATGCACAGCCACATGCTTGCATGCACACAAATGCAACCACGCACACACCACGCACACACCACGTACACACCACACACACATAATCACATATGTGTGCACACATATACCAACCACACAGTGTGCGCACACACACATGTATGCATACTTACACACAGCTGGACGTGCACACATACAGCCATAAGTGTGTGTAAATATACACACAACCACACATACACACCACACACATGTACACACAACCACATACGCACATACACGTAACTACAAGGCACCACAACCCACAGACGCACAGCACCTACACACCCCCGCACCTCCTCCTCCTGGCTCCCCCACCTCCAGCATTCGGGCATCTCACTCACCCACGGTCTCGATGGGAAAGTCGAAGGTGAGCTCGGGGGCCAGGGCGCCTGTCGGGGTCCCCTGAAGGTTGACGATCCGCACACAGCCTGCGGGAAGGGCGCAGGCAGGGCTCAGGCCCAGAGGACAGCTCCACCTCCCGCCGCCCCGGTCACCCCGCCTTCCCGGCTGCCCCAGCCGCCCCCGCTGCCCCAGCCGCCCCCGCCGCAGTCACTCACGCTCGAAGCACACCAGCACTGTGTCTCGGTCCACCTGGATCACCTGCTGGGCAGCGCCTGGAGCCCCCTCTGGGGGCAGAGGAAGCGCGAGGTTGTGAGCAGGCTCCGGGGTCGCGCCAGCCCGGGCTCCTGCCCCTAAGCCTGGCCCCTCCCTAAGCCCAGCATCTCCTCCTCTGCTCCTGGTTCTTCTCTCACATTGTCAACCCCCCCCCCCCATTTTACAGATGGGGAAATTGAGGCCCAGGGAGAGGGAGTAACTGACAGGATCATAGGAACACGGATCCAGAGCTGCCATGGGCCTTTGGGTCCAGCTGACCCAACTCCCTCATTTTACAGATGGGGAAACTGAGGCCCAGACATGGCGTGGGATTTACCAAAGGTCACATAAGCAAGTAGCAGAGGCAGGATTCAAACCTGGGCTTTCTGCTGTGTGATTCCAGCCCCTCTCTGAGCCCCAGTTGCCATCTCTGTCAAACGGGGGTGCTAATCTTTGCTTCACTGACTTCACGGGATATTTTGAGGCGAATGCTTTGTAAGCACTCTTGGGGGCAGCCTAGCATGGCAGAAGGAACCGCAGCTTCACGGCCAGAGGACCTGGGTTCAGATCTTGCCTCGGTCACTGGGTGTGACCCTGGGCCTCAGTTTCCCCATCTACAAAGTAAAGGAGTGGGACTGGGCAGGCTCCAGGATCCTATAAGTCGCTGCCTCAGTTTCCCCAATGGTAAAAGGAGACACGAATGACCTCTAAGGTCCCTCCAGCCCTGAAGCGGAAATCCTGCGGTCATAGAGGCTTCCCCAGCCTCAGTTTCCTCATCTGTAAAATGCAGGGGTATCCTTCAGTTCCAGAGACCCTTAAGGTGAGTCTGCAACGGGAGCCCTCCTCCTGAGCCCTGGAAGCCAAGGCTGCGTGCTCACCAGGAGGGATGAGGAAGTCAGGGGCGGGCCCAGCTTCCAGCGGGAGGATGTGGAACTGGAGGCCCAGGCCGGGTCTGCCGGGCCCAGTGGCCCCCACGCACACTTGAGGCAGCTCCTTCCCTTCCAGTATCAGAGGCTCCAGGAGCCCCAAAGGATTGGGCAGGACGGTGGTGAAATTCTGCATGGGCCAGAAAAGTAGAGGCAGCAGCCTTCCTCACCCTGGCCAGGGATGGGTGGGCTCAGAGACCCCGTGTGCCCTCCCCAGTCCCCAAGGGCCCCCCTCTGCCTCTAACCAGGGACGGGCGGGCTCAGACACCCCGTGTGCCCTCCCCAGCCCCCAAGGGCCCCCCCCTCCCCCCGCCAGGGATGGGTGGGCTCAGACACCCCGTGTGCCCTCCCAAGCCCCCAAGGGCCTCCCTCTGCCTCTAACCAGGGATGGGTGGGCTCAGACACCCTGTGTGCCCTCCCCAGTCCCCAAGGGCCTCCCTCTGCCTCTAACCAGGGATGGGCGGGCTCAGATGCCCCGTGTGCCCTCCCCAGCCCCCAAGGGCCCCCTCTGCCCCCCAGCCAGGGATGGGTGGGCTCAGAGACCCCATGTGCCCTCCCCAGCCCCCAAGGGCCTCCCTCTGCCCCACTCAGGTTCCCATACCTTGAGAAGCAGGAATTTCTTCAGGGGCTCATACCACTGCAGGAGCAGCAGGGCAGAGGGCAGAGCAGCCAGCAGGAAGGTGCTCCCTGTGTAGGGATTTCGAACTGTGGAGGGGAAGAGGCAGCTAGCTGGGCCTCAGCACCATTCAACAAACATGTGCTAAGCACCTATGTGTGAGATTCGAACCCTGGTCTGCTGACTCCATGTCCCACGCTCTAGCCACTAGGCCACGGCTGAGAGCAGGGAGGAATAGAAGGGAAGCCTTTGACCTCCACGTCCACCCCCTGACCACTGACGCGGCCGACAACAACTGTCATTGTGAGGAAGGCCCTCGGTCCTTCTTCTGGGCTCCATGAGCAGTCCGGCCCAGGCTCCCGGGCCCTCCTCTCCATCCACCCACCAGCCAGCTAACAGAGTCATCCCTTGGCCTGGGTCTGACCTCACCCACCCCCCACGCTTCAGGGACAGGATAAAAGACAAACCCATCAGCCTACCATCGAAAACCTCTTCCAATACCTTTCTAACCTCATTTCCTTTTTTAAAGTTTACTGACATCTTTGGTTTTATACATCGCCTTCCTTTTTGGATATATCCCTCCCTCGACACCCACAATTCCTTGTAATAAAGGAGAAAGGGGTGGGGGGAAGCAATTCAGCAAAACTAGCCAATACACAAACCCAGGCAAAGGCACCATCAATATCTGCCCTTCACACACTCTCCTTACAGGCAGCCTGGACTACCACTTAACTAATTCATGAATTCAACCTGTCATCTCCCACCTCCACGCATTTGCACAGGCCATGTCTGGAAGGGTCACTTCCCTCCCCTCCAACTTTCCTTATCTTCTTTTGATTGGAAATTTTTTCTTTTTTAAGCCATTGAGATTAAGTGACTTGCTCAGGGTCACACAGCTAGTAAGTGTCAAGTGTTTGGTCTGAGGCCGGATTTGAACTCAGGTCCTCCTGACTTCAGGGCCAGTGCTCTATCCACTGCACCACTGAGCTGCCCTCTTGTCTTCTTTTGAGGCTTGGCTTGGCACTATGTCCTCTGTGATGCTTTCCCTGACTCTCTTCCTTCCTCAAAGTCCCTCAGTTTACTTGTCAGTAAGTGGACTGTGCTGTACCCTCCTCCCTTGATGTCCCAAAGGCCTAGCCCCGGGCCTGGCACACAGAGCCCTGCAGGAAGAGCAGGGGTCCGGCAGGCAGAGATGAGGACAGAGGGGAGTCGGGTGCAGGAGATGGACGGTCAGCGTTAAGGTGTGGCACTGCAGGCCCACCCCCGGCTCTTACCCACACGGCACTTGAGACAGCCTTTGGTATCCGCAATCTTCGTAGAGAGTGCAAAGCGCCTGTGGGGAAAGTTGGCATGAGCTAGCCCGGGACCTCTGACCCACCATGGCCTCGCTCCTCTCCTTCAGAGGCTGGTGGAGCGGGTCAGAGGGCATAGGCTAACCCTCCCCCAGGTTACTGCCAGCCCACCAGATTCTAAGAGAGGAGCGCTGCTCTCAAGCGCTCGCTGGGCCCCGAAGTGAACCCAGACCTGGTCTTCAGTGGGTCAGCATCCACCTGGACCCCCCAGGCTGATTAAGCTGGCCTTGCCAGACCCCCCGGGTCCATCCGGGTCTCTCCCGAGGGACAGAGCCAAAAGAGCCCGGGAAAGGCAGGAGGATGGGGAGGGCTGCCCCGGCACCGCTGCCCAGAGCCCCAGGGCCCTCGCTGCCCCCGACCCCACACCACCTGGGGATGATACGCTGGGTAAGCCGGTGGGTGGGGATGGCCAGAGGGACCTGCCGCTGCTGCTGCTGCCGACGTTGCTCGAACAGTGCTGGCAGGTCATGAGCCCAGACGTGGGTGGTCTTCCCTGGGAGGGAGAGATGAGGGTTATCGTTACGGCCTATTACAACATTTCTCTCTCACGGTGACACTGATCAAGCTCCTTATGAAGGAGGTTAAAGCACATCTTACAGATGGGGAAACTGAGGCAGGGAAAGGCGAAGTCCCTTGCCCAGGGTCACACAGCTCAGTGAGCACTGGAGCCAGGAAGACTGCTGCGATGAAATTCAGATGACCCGGGTTTCAGCTGCCGGCTCTGCCACTTAGGACCAGCGTGACCTTGGGGAAGTCTCTTAACTCCCCCGTGCCTCAGTTTCCCCATCTGTAAAACTCCAGGGTTGCAATAAAGGGCCTCTGATGATGGGGTTAGTGGTGGTGACCCTGCGAGACGTTTTGGCCCCCCCAACACCTCCCACCGCCCTCTCCCAGCCCCGCCCACCCCCTCCAGCACCTGACAAGGAGAGAAGGACATTGTTGACACAGTAGAGCCAGAAGCAGCGCTGGGGAATCAGCTGCAGGACAGAGACAGCCACATGGCTCACTCGCCCAGCTGGGCCTCAGTGCCCCCCACCCCCAGGGGATGGACCCAAGCCCTAAATCCCTCCCCCCTTGGACGTTCCTGGAGCCCGTGCCCTCTGCCCGGATCTCTCCTCGCCACCTGTCCATCACCCTGCCGCCCCTGGCCATTCCTGGGGGACGGGTCCTCTGGGTACATCTCATGCCCACGGCACCCAGCACAAGGACCTTGCATGTGGCCTCGAATGGGATAAGATAGGGTCCTGCTCTGCCTGCCTGAGGGCCGAGCGCCCCACCCCCACCCTCACCTCCACCTCCTCCTCCTCACCTTCTCCAAAGTATCCTCATGTAATTCGTGTAGATTGAGGGTATAGATCCCCTCCTCGGCCCCCACCACCAAGAACTGGTCTGGAATAAGAGAAGACGGGGTCGGGGACAATCAGCCGCCTGTCTCGAGTGGGGAGTCGGCTGAGAAGTCCCCCCCACCGAGGCCTCACCCGCGGCCCGGGTGTCTGGCTTCTTCCCCGGCCCCGCCCCCACCCCTGCTCCTCGGAGGCCCCACAGGCGGCCCAAGGCAGGTGATGCTGCTGCAGCCACCCTACCTCGGGTCACAGGGTGAATCCAGGTGACAGCGGTGTGGATCTGAAGCGGGCAGCCATTGAAGACTTTGGAGAAGCAGGCGCCCATCTGGGGCAGAGGACGGACAGGACCAAGGATGAGGGCGAGACAGGACAGAAAGGGAGACACCCCAGGCCTGCCCTCTTGGCCTGGGGCCAGACCCTTCCTAGCTAGGGGACAATCCCTCCAAGGCTCTGGGCCTCAGTCTCCTCATCTGTTCAAAGGGCATGGATCTGAGCACTGACTAGGCCATCAAAGGCCAGGGGCCAGGGTGGGGTGGGGCAGAGCAGGACTGAGGAAGGCCCTGGGGGGACACTTACATGAACTTTGGGGGTGGGGGGGAGGCCGTGACAGCAGGATCTCTGAGAAGGAAAGGGAGGGGGCTCAGAGCCGGTTTCGTCCAGTTCCCCATCATCCCTTCCCACAGGCCCAGGGATCCCTGCTGACCTCAGTGTCTTCCTTGCGCTTCATGGTGGCCCATTCGGTAGAGAGCAATGGTGGGGTTTCGGAACAGGGCAGAGCCAGCTCTGGCGTCTCTGGCGGGCACGTGGACCAGCTGTCATCCCCCACTCCTCTTCCCCTCCCCCACAGTAGATGCATTTCTCCTCCTCCTCCTCTTTTCCTCTGCCCTAAGGTTTCCCCATATGGGCCTGGGCATAAGGGGAGCTTTCCAGAGCCCCAGGGACCCCCGGAGACCCCTTCTCCCCTGGCCAAGCCTCACCTGGAGGGGAATCGGGAGAGTCCACTTCAGAAGGTCCCGGGGGTCCGGGACCCCCAAATGGTGACCGCTTAATGGTTCCTGTTCCGTCCTCAGGGGAGTCCAGGACCTGGGGAAGTAGAAACCAAGCAGCACCCCGAGTCAGGCGTCCAGCTCCTGAGGCTTTTTGGCCTAGCTCACTAGGCCCGCTCCCTCCCGGGCACCCAGGCACATTCCCATAGACGGCCCCTCCCCAACACCCAGGCCCCCTGCTGTCTCAGGCCCACCTGGTCCTTCAGAGCCGGCTTCATGGTCAGACTCCTGTTGGGGGAGAGAACGCTGATGACAAGGAGCTCCTCAGAGCATTTAGCAGCTGGCCAAGCACCTTCCTCGTAACCACCACGAGGTCATGAGGGAAAGCACCACCTAACCTCCAAAACCAAAGTTCTGTACCCAAAGGTCCCCCAGACCAGCTGCTCCCTGGCAGGACTCTGGCCAGCACAGAGCCACAGACTTGAAAGTCATTCAATTCAACAGGAGCTCACTATGTGCCACACTCTCTCGGAGACCCTGCCCTCAGGGAGCTTGCCATCTACAAGGGAGTACGACAGAGGGGAAAGCAAACCCAAGCGACTTCCGGAGAGAATGCTATGACCAGGGCATTAGGAAAGACTGGCCAAGCTGTAGCAAGGACCCTACAAGGGGGAGTTCAGGAGAGAGGGCATTCCAGGCAGGGGGACCATATGTACAAAGGTACCAGGCAAGCCCAAGTGTCAAACGGACCCCCGCATCTGCTGAGGGTACCCATCCTGGGAGTCGGCCTGTGAGCTGTCAGGCCCCTGGAGGTCTGAGCAAGCCCCGCCCCACACCCCAACATCCCCAGTGTCCCTACCTCCTGCCCCAAGCGTCTGGAGAGAGAACAGGTTAACACCGCCCTCCACGAGCACAGGCCAAGGAAGGCGGGCCCCATCAGTCAGGACCTTTCCAGCCTGGGCCTAACAGATTCCCACTTCCTCCTCCCCTTGTACCTGTGATTCAGATTTGTCCACTGCAGAGGAAAAACACTTTTGGCTCTGTTATCTTCATCTTGCCGTGCTCTTCCCCCTCACCCAGGTCCTACTCTGCTCTGCCACCTGTCCATGGGGCCCTCAGGAAATGCCATTCGAAGGTTAACAAACTGCCCTCACCACACACCTCTTCCTTCTCTGCTCCCTCCATCTTCTTGGCTCCCCCAGAAGTCCCTTTACCCAGCTGCCCTCTCCAGTCCTGGGGGCTCCTCTCAGACCCCCTGCACACACTGGGCACAGAGCAGGACACTCTGCGCTACTTCTCGGACCACGTTCCTGGGCGCCTAAAGCTTCTCTTCCCCAGCACCCCCTGGCACCCTTAGCATCTCATCTCCCAGTCGAGAATCTCACCTCCTACTTTACAGAGAAAAAACCAGCCTCTTCCCTGGGCCCACTCTGTACCTTACCGGTCCCAAGGCTTGTTCGTTGAAATAAATGACTAAACCGTCTAAAAAAGGAAATCTCGTCTCTTCCTGCTCATCCCAGGAGTCTCTAACACAGAGATGCTGCTCCATGACAAGACCCGCCCCTCCCCCGGCCCCCGCAAAGCCATCCTCAGCTGCCTCCTCTCCAGGTCTCCCTCTCTGTGGGTCCTTCTTCTCTTCAACATCTACGAGCTTCCTTCCTCTCAGTCTACCAGCACACCCCGGCCTCCACCAACAGGCCCCAGCCTCCACGGTCTCTCTGAAGCAAATGTTTTCACTCGACTCTGCCACACGCAAGGTGACTGACGGTCTCCCGGAGGGCTTTGAATTACAATTCTCATCTTCCTGTGTCCCTCTGCGGCTTCTGAACCCGTCGACCCTGCCCTCAACACCACACACACACACACACACACACACACACACACACACACACACACACACACACACACACACATACACACACACACACACACACACGATTGCCCCACGGCCCAGTGGGCTATCTAACGCTCGTCTCTACCTGCCTGTCTCTGGCTGGTCCAGTTCCACCCAGCAGGAGTGTGCCCCCAGGGCCGTGTCCCATGCCTTCTTCTCTCCTCTCCCTATACTCCCCCGGGAGGTCTCAACGGTCACCCTTCCACAGACGGTCACCGTTCCACAGATGACTCCCAATTCACAGACCCATCCCTCACCTCCGGTAGCCCAGTCTACCTTCAGGGCGTTCACCTCTGGATCTCCCACGGGCATCAGAAACTCCTCTTCCCCATCACCCCTCCCTCCCTCCCTCGCCATCTCTCACCAGCGGGCACCACCATCTTCCCGGGCCCCCAGGTTTGTGATCTCAACGTCCACCCTGACCCTTCCCTCTGACGCGCGCTACCAAATCTCCTACTCTCTTCCTCTCTGGCATAGCTTCATCTGACCCGCTCACTCCGCTCACACGGCCACCCGCCGTTTCAGGCCAGACTATCGTGACAGCCTCCTCGGCCTCTCTGCCTCCAGTCCCCCCTTGCCCAGGTCATCCTCCACACGGCTGTCAAGGTGGTCTCCCTGGGGCACACGTCTGTCACTCTTGGGGTAAGACCTCTCCCTATGACCTTGAGGATAAGATTCAGACTCCTCCGGCCTGGCGTTTAGGGTCCTCCACACTGATCCCACCGGCGTAGGCTCCCCTCGGCTTTTCCAGGCTTCTTTCCCATGCCTCCTCTCACCCCTTCTTCACTGCAGCCAGACAAGATAACTAGCTGCTCCCGAATTCGGCCTCTCAGCACCCAGGCTGAGGCCATCCACCTCCTTTGGGTTCTGGTCATATGCTCCCTCCTCAAATGCCCTTGTATCTACCCATCTGGGGACATAGGGGGTTTCTTCCCCCTGGGAGAATGGAAGCTACCTGAGAGCAGGCATTCTTTAACTTTTGTCTTTGCACCCCCAGTGCCAAGTGTCTGCTGAGTTAAGGTGGGGAGCCCAAGGATGTTTATTCCCAAGAGAAGATGAAGATGATAGAGACCAGCAGAAAGAGCTGTACAAAGTACAGTGGGCAGCCGTGGGAGGTGCCGCCTGGGTCCGGCCACCTTTGCTCTGAGCTTCCAGAGAAGTCCCCGTCCCTCCAATCCCAAGACTCACCTTTCCTCCAAGGCCTCTTGGACTGACTGCAGCAGACTCCTGAGCAGAGAGGCACAGAGGGGCCACTGAGCCCGAGGCCAAGCCCCTGTACTGCCCTCCCCTCCCCCACCCCACCCCCAGGCCACTGTCCCCACCTACCCGGTCAGCTCTTCCTTCTCTAACAGCGTCCACTCCTCCTCCCACTGTGTAGAGAAAAGGGAGGTACTGCTGATCACATGGTCCTGGGATAAAGGTCTCATTTCCAAGACATATAAGGAGCTGATTCAAAGTCCCCAGAATAGGAGTCATTCCCCAAATGAGAAACAGTTTGAGGAAATGAACAGACGGTTCTCAAGGGAATCATGAGGGCCTTTGCCGGACCTGGGCAGGGATCCCCACCGTGCCGTGGAGAGAAACCTAGGCCATCTATACCCAGAGGAAAAAACGCTCCAAACCACTACTGAAGAAATGCAAATTAGTAATAAAAATAAGAGCTAGCTATGGATAGCACTTCAAGGTTTACAAGGCACTCTGTAAATCTGACTTTATCCCAGTAACAACCCTGGCAGGGAGCTGCTAACATCATGCCCGTTTAAGAGTTGAGGAAAATGAGGCAAGTAGAGGTTAAGTAACTTGCCCAAATTCACACAGCCAGAAAGGATCTGAAGCTGGATTTGAGCTTGGGGCTTCCTGACTCCAAGTCCAGAACTCTGTCCCCTGCACCAGCTAGTTGTCATTAGTTAAATTAAAACAACGCTGAGATTCCACCTCACCCCCGTCAGATTGGCAAAGATGACCCAAAATAGGAAAACAATAAACGTTGGAGGGGTTGTGGGAAAACAGGCACACTGGAGGAGCCGGGAGTGGGGAGGGAGGAGTTACCTGGAAATGCTTCTAACACAAAAACAAAACACACCAGTAAGACTAAGAAAATAAAGTACTGAGGTCCCGAGGATTGGGCACAGAGCCAGAAGGAATCTCAGGGATCACCGAATCCAGCCCCTCCATCCCACAGGCCGGAGGAGGTGGACTAGACCATAGACCAAGGTCACGCAGGCAGTGAGGGTCAGAGAGCCCTCTTGGCCCAAAACCAGGGTCTCTCTACTTGGAAGTGGAAGTGTCAGGCGTGGGTGGCAAAACCGCCCCAACCCCTCTTGGTGTCCTCACCAGAAGGCCCTGAGCCTAGAGAAGAACCATCCCGCTCACTTGGCGTAAAACCAGGGCCTGGACCCTGGATGTAGATTCTGCCCTTCCACGGGCCTTCTTACCGGCTCACACAATGGCTCTGTCTCCTTCCTCCTGGGAGCACCAAACTTGACCTGGTGAACTAGAATGAGACTGGACAATAAGGAGGGAGCCCAGCAGGGATAGAGGGCCTGGGGCAAGGGGACAGAAAGGGTGAGAACACAGAGGCAGAAAAAGAGAAGGCCGTGGGGAGCCCCACTTCTCCTTCCCTCCACCACCCGCTGTCACTCACACTGGATCTCCGATGGGGTCCTCTCTGCCTGACTGTGCTGCCCCCTGGAGTGGATCGTGTCAGGAAATATGTCGTAGGTCTGCAGCAGAAAGGTACGGTGAAGCTCACCCCGCCCCATGACGTGTGCCGCTCCCTACCCTCAGCCCAGGTGAGGCTGAGGCTGCCCTCACCTCCAGGTCACAGTCCTCCGGGTTAGGGATGCCCAGGTGGGGATCGTTGAGTTTGTCCAAGAGCTGCATGAGGAGCATCCGGGGGAGGGTCTGGGCTGTGAAAGGGTGCTGGAGGTGGGGAGGGGGAAGGAATCAAACATACGGGAGAGTCTGAGCCACCCCACCACAACACGGCTTCCAGCTTGAAAGCATACGGCCCTTCCAGGAACTGACAGACACCCTCCCAGCCTCAGCCACCCATGCCACTAACTCTGCCCTGGCCCACCCTCAAAAGGACCCCCGTCCTCCTCCTCTCCCAAAGTTTCTCTGACCTGCAAAAGCTTCTCAGCAGGGGGCCTTTTCTTGGGGTTCTTGGTCAAGGCCAACTTGAGGAAATGGTGGAAATTCTGGGACCTGAGAGCCAGGACAGGGTCAGAACTGGGCCAATGCCCCTGGGGCAGCCCCAGTGACCACCACACACACACACACACACACACACACACACCCAACGGGGGGGGGGGATCAGGAAAGCTTGGATAGGTGGAGTCACCAGAGCTGAGCCTTGGAGCTGCTGAGGAGGCATGGGGACAGCCTGGGCAAAGGTCTGGAGGTGGGAAGTGAAGGTCAGGCTACTCACCAGCAGGTCTTCTCCTTCAGCTTGGGAGGCTGGAAGCTGCTCTTTGACATAAGCATTAATGCCCTGCAGGAGGAATGGGGAAATCGGAGATCAGCTGGGGGCTCGGGGCTGGGGCACAGGTGGGGGGGGGTGAAGGCACCGACCGACCTCATGGGGTGCAGGTGGAAGAGTGGGGGCTGAAGCTCGGCCAGCTCGATGGCGGTGATCCCGATGGCCCAGACGTCACAGAGTTCATTGTAACCCCCTTTCCGCTCTACAGCGGCCACTTCTGGGGCCATCCTGGGGGCAGGGAGAGCGTGTCACCTTCTCTGGGCCCCCCAGGGGAGCCCCTTCTAGGGAACGGGAGAATCTCCTCACCAGTATGGTGTCCCAATGAAGGACTTCCTCTTGGCCACGGACGCCGTGAGCTCGCCAGACACGCCAAAGTCAGCTGCAGAGGGAAGGGATGAGCAGCCAGGTGCCCAACCCAGACAGACTTCCCCCTCTGCCTGCAGCTCTGGAATCAGGATACACCTGGCTCCTTGGCTCAGCTCCCTGTCTCTGGTTCAGCTGGAGCCCTCCCCTCTTCCCAGATCCCCAAGCTTCCAAACTGATTCACCCTAAGTGCCCAAACCCACTGACCAAGAGTCTTGGGGGCAGTTGGATGGGGGCACCCAAGGATTCTCCCAGAGCCCCTGTCTCTTCTGGTTCCACCCACCCCAGTTCTCCCCAATCTCATCCCCCCAGTGACCCCAGGCTCCCCCTCCCCAGCACTGACCCAGTTTGACATCTCCATGGAGAGTGAGGAGAAGGTTGGCTCCCTGTAGGGACAGAGGAGGATAAGTTATCCACCCCAAGTGGACGGTATCCCTGTGCCAGCTTCTCTAACCCCCGGGGGTCCCTCCACTAGCTCAGTTCTCCCTCACATACATACCAACTTTCCATCCTGTGGGCCCTATAGTTCCCACAACACTCTGCCCAGAAACCTGCTGCTCCAGCAGGTCCTCAAACCTCCCACGTCTTTCTGTTTGTCTCTCTGGCTGGCTGGCTCTCTCTCTCCCCACACACACACACACACACACACACACACACACACACACACAGCACCTTCCCTTCCCCTACCTTGATGTCCCTGTGAATCTTCCCCTGAGAATGGAGATGATGCAAGCCCTGGGGACAGGAGAAACCTTTGGGTCAGCCCTTAGGCCCCCAGCTTCTCCCTGCCACTTCCAGGGTCCCCAAATCCATCCCAGGGCCAGGTCAGGTTAAGGAGCTCAGTGGGGGTTTGGGGAGGGGCTCCCCACCACCACCCAAGCTGTTTCCTCCCACCTCTACTCTCCCCCAAACAGGAAGCGGGTGAGGCAAGAGGGAAACAAGAAGCTTCCGGCAATAGGAGAATGGCCCCACCCCTTCTGGCACCAGTCTCCCACCAGGACCAAGAGGCCCTTCCCACCAAGGGACCAATTAGTGGGCCTCAGGGGAATAGCTGAGTCCCTAGCCCAGCCCAGGCAGACAAGGAAAGGCAAAGCAAAGGCAGGAAAAGGACTACCAGGGGGTTGAAAGCAGAGGAAGGGCCCCCTACCTTTAGGGCCTCCCGACACACGTAGGCAATCTGTTTTTCCTCCAGGGGTCCAGTGGCTGAAAAAAGGAGAGGTGAAGGTAGAGGCAGGCCCATGCGGCCAGGGCCCTGTCCACTCAGAGGAAAGGGCCCTGCTAAGGTTGGGGAAGAAAGAGTAATCAATTCCACACTCAAGAGCAGTCTGGGGACGTGCAGACACCTGAGCTCCAAAGCCTGGGACCATCACGAAGGCCTGTGCTTCCCCTGGATGGGGTCAGGGTCCACGCCCCCACAGAGCCTCCGAGGGAGCTCGTGAGGGCCTCAGCCCCCACCAAGAGTTTGAGCCTGGGCAGATGCCCCATTCCCCACTGTTCAGTCTTCCTCAGCCAAAGCAGCAGCTTAAGGCTGGAGACAAGGGCTCTGGGGGAAAAGGGGCCCGGGTCTCACCCTGGTAGATCTCCTGCAGGGACCCTCCTCCACAGAACTCCATGCAGATCCACAATCTGTCATTTCTGAAGAAGAAGGAGGGGGGAAGGGGTCAGGGGAAGGGTCCTGGTACAGAACTTAGAGACCACCTAGACCCAGCCCCTTATTTTACAGAGAAGGAAGGCTCAGGGAGGGCCAGTGACTCGGCCAAGACCACCCAGTAACGGGTCTAGCCGGCATGCTAGGTTTAAGGCCGGCATGTTCTCTCCGCTCCACCAAGACGAGGGTGTCCCAAGATGGCATCCTTCGACTGCTGGCAGGCAGCTGGCAGCCAGAGGGAACAGCTGAGGCCGAGGGGCGGGGGTGGTCACCTGAGGTAGCTGCCCAAGTAAGTGACCACGTTGGGATGCCGACATTCTTTAAGGATGGTGAGCTCCTGCTGCAGGGAGCTGATGTCATCTCCTGAAGGAAGGGAAAGGCTTCTGTCACCTGCTGTGTGCGCACAGGAGGCAGAACCCCCACCCCCTCGGCAGCCAGGGACCCCACGTGTCTCACCTGGGTCTAGTTTGACTATCTTCACGGCAGCCAGCTCGGACGTCTCCGTGTCCCGGGCCTGTAACGGAGTCAGGAGGCTAGCGGAGTTGCCCGCGGAGTTGCCCTCGGCCTGCCCATCAGGCCGGGATGGAGACGTAGGGCAACCTGGCCTCCTTCCCCTTTCCTGGGCCGGGCCGGGAGGCGTCTGCCCGGCGGGCGGCGGGTGGGCGGCGGCGGGCGGGGGGGGGGGGGGGGGGGGGGGAGGTGCAGCCCACAGCCCTGTGGCTCTCCCCCTCCCTCCCCCCGGGGCAGCCCTCCCCGCCCGCACCTTGTACACATCCCCGTAGGTGCCGGCCCCCACCCGCTGCAGCAGCTCGAAGCGCTCCCGGGGATCCTGCAGCGACACGTCGCGCAGCAGCGACATGGCCCCGCTGGCGGTGGCCGGCCGGCCCGCCCGCCCGGGAGCCCGCAGAGGCAGCAGCAGCTCAGTGCCGCCCGCCCGCCCCGAGGGGAGGAGCCCGAGCAGAAGCCCAGCCTGAGCCGGAGTGGGGCGGGCGGGGCCGGGGCGGGGCGCGGGGGGGGGGGGCGGCCCGGGGATTCCCCGCCGCGGGAAGGGAGCAGACGGCACGGCCGGCCCGCCGGTGCCCACTCCCTGGGCTGTGCCCACCCCCGACCCCGCGCCCAACAGCATAACCGCGAGAGCCTCGGGTTTGTTAAAAAAATTTATTTATCTTCCTGGAGACTGAAAAATAAATCTATGTACAAACAGGCAGGAAGGGGTTAAGCGCGCCCCCCCCCCGCCCCCCGCCCCCCGCGCGTCCCTGGGATCCCCGGGCGCCCCGGCCCCTCACAGCCCCTTGCGCTGCCTCTTGAGGAAGGACAGGGTGTAGTCGCTGGGCGTGGACACCTTCTGTTTTTTCATCTGCACTTGGGACTGGGCAGTGAGCTGCAGCTTGATGGCGCTGGAATTGATCTTGGTGGCCACCAGCAACTCCTTCATGCCCTTCATCTTCTCGCTCTGGAAGGTGAGCACTGGGCCCTCGGGGGGCTGGGAGGCCGGAGGGGCTGGGGCTGGGCCGGGTCCTCCCCCCTCGGGGCCCTTGGGAGCCCCTGGGGCCACCCCGGGCCTCCTGGGGACGCTCTTGTCTAGGGCCAGCTTTTTGGGGGGTGGCGGCTCCTCGGGCTTGGACTCTCGCCGGGGTCCCCTCCTTCGGCCCTCCCGGGCCTCCTCGCCCCACGGCTCCTCGGTCTCTGCCGTCTCTGCCTCCCGGCTCACAATCCGGACCTTCTGCCTCACCTGGGGACCCACGGGAAGGTTGCCCCCTGGGTTGTCAGAGGGTACCCTAAACTGTCCCCCCCTCCCAGTCTCTGGGGGGTACCACTGGGGGCCCCGGCTCACCTGCCCCTCGAAGCGCCCCAACGACTGCACCAGGAAGGTGGCCCAGCCCACATGCAGCACGGGCGTGGGGCTGCCCTCCTCCCACTTGCAGATGCCATCATAGAAGCGCAGGAGGTGGGCGAAGCACTCGGGGTCCTGCAGGGCTGAACCCTGGGCTGGGGAGCCCTGGGAAACATGCAGGTTAGGCCCCCCCCGCAGCTTAGAGTTCTAGGAACGGCCCCTGGCCAGCCCACGAACCCCCCTTCTCAGAATAACATGTTTAAATGCCTAAGATCGGGTTACAAAGGTGACCGCCCCCAAAGATTCCAAACCAAGGTCCCAGAGGCCAGGGGAAGCAGGCCCGCAGCCCCGTTTACCTGAGTGTGCTCTCCACCTCGATCCTCCCCGGTCTCCGCCAGCGCGGCGGCCTCCTTCAGCAGGTTGGGGACCACATCATTGGCCACCTCGAAGAACTCCTTGTAGATTTCCTCATCTTCCCGGCAGTAATTGTAGCTGGGAGGAGGGAGGCCGAGTGAGCACAGACCACCCCAGTCTCCTTCCCCAACCCCCTCTTTAGCCCCTCAGGCGGTGACAAGGAAGAAAGGACGGTCCCTAACTCCCCATTCACCCAAGCAGTGAGAAGGGGTCTGGGGGATCGAGGAGGGCAGTGTGCTTGAGGGGAGAGAGGAAGAACGGGCAGGTGCCTCACTCCTGGATGACGGTGGCTGTGTCCGCCCAGGCCTGCAGGGCTTCTCGGACGTTACGGTTACGGCAGTGGTAGCCAGCCAGGTACATGTAGGGATAGATGTGCTCATCCCGATAGTAGGTCTTGGCAGAAGCGATGCCCTGGGGGTGGGGAGTTCAGAACCTCAGGACACCACCTATCCAGCCGGCCCGCGGCTCTTCTTTGCGGTCACCATCATCAAAAACTCCCTGACCACCCAAGGCTAAATCAGCCCAATCCTGCTGTCCAGGGCACAATGTCCAGCTGCTGACGTAGGCTGGGCGCCTCACGACAATGGGCAGCAGCTCACAAGCCTACGGCCCTTGGAGCCCACAAAGCACCTGGAGGTGGCCTAAGGAGGTCCCCACGAGGCCAAGGCCAGCAAAGCCAGGCACACACTTGCTGGCTGGTTACTGTGGACTGTGGGTATGTGGGGTGCTGTCCTACCCCCACGGCTGGGAGCTCCACAAGGGGAGGGGCTGCCTTCCTCTGAGGTCCACTGTGTTGTGTTGTGTTGTGTGTGTTTGACAAGATGCCCTTCTGGAGCTGGAGCAGCACTGGCACCCCGCTGTCACCTGAGCCCACGGGCCGGAGCCCCATCCTGGCCTGCCTTCCTCTCCGCCTCACGGGCAGCAAGCCACCTCACTCCCGTGACCTCTCCCTGCCCTATACACTGACATGCTCCCTCCTCCACCGATGCACACACACCTTGTGGTAGATAGTGAGGGGGTCTGGCCGGCCAGGCGTCGGCTCCAGCTCCTCCAGGTCTGCCAGGTTCCCCAGAGCCATGGGGTACCTGCAGAGAAGGCATGGGGACTGATGCCCACCACGATCCGGGCACCCATGGCTCCCCTTCCCTCCACCTGCCTCCTGCCCCTCTCCATCACTCACCTTTCCAAGTGTCCCAAGTCATAAAGCAACCAGAGAAGTTTCTGTGGGTGAGAAATGACAGAGATGTGACCTGAGCCTGGGGGTCCTGCAAGGCTGGGAGCCTGACCCTGGAGGGCCAGAAGAGAAGCAAGGCTGGTGGGGCGTTCAGGGCCTGGTCCTGGGGACCAGCAGGGGGTGGGGGTCCGGGGCCTCACCTGCTGGAGCTGCAGAAGCTCCAGGGAGTCCGTGTGCAGATCAATGGAGGGATTGATAGCACACACCATGAAGGCCACCTCCATCTTTCGGTCACAGCGCAAATAGGAGCCCTTTAGGTATAACCAGCTCTGGGGGCAAGACAGGGCAATCAGGTTAGCTTCCCCTCTGGACAAGCCCTCATTCTCCATTCACTCCCCTCTCCTGGAGAGCAGCACGACTTGGGGGCCAGTGAACTGTGTCCCATGGGGAGGGGAGGCAGCTGTTAATTCCCGAGGAAGAGTGGGAGGGCTGGGGTGGGGGGAACGGCATTACTCGCTCAGCTACGCCGGCGTTCACCGTCTGTCCCCTTCGGTCCTCATTGCCTTTCCCGTGCCACGTAACCTCAGCCGTCTGCTCTCCATCAGGGCCAAATACAACCCAGGCATGGTCCTCAGACAGGGCCAGGTGGACGTCTCGGAGGCCCAGGGCCTGGCAGGCCCCCACCACTGCAAAGGCCACCCCAGAGCTGTCCAGCTTGGTGCCTGGAAGCAGAAAGGGGAGGGGACTTCTACCAGCCCTTGCTCTGGAGCCAGGCAGAAGGAACTACAACCGGGCCTCCCACCTGGCCCCAAGCCATCCCCTGGCCAGGTAGCAGACTCCTTCCCCTGTTGCATCCCCTCCCTTCTTTGTCTCCCCCTCCTCCAGGAAGCCTGTTCACATGAGCCCAACTCATCGTCCCCAGGGCCCTATGGTCTCTGCCTCTGCCCTTCAGCACGCTTCTGCACAGGTATGTGTGTAAATTAAAAAGCATCAGCATCTGGACTGTGCTTTGCCAAATATTCTTTTTTTTTTTTTTTTTTTTAAGGCAATCGGGGTTAAGTGACTTGCCCAGGGTCACACAGCTAGTAGGTGCCAAGTGTTTGGTCTGAGGCTGGCTCTGAACTCAGGTCCTCTTGACTTCAGGGCTGGTGCTTTATCCACTGCACCACCTAGCTACCCCCAAATATTCTCACAACTAGTCTCCCAAGATTACTGAGGGGGAGACAGGACAGACCTCCAGTGACCAGACCTCCAGTGACCTTTCCCAGCTGCCTCTGGGTTTCGAGGATGGCATCATGGAGTCCAGGGAGCCTCTCAGGCCCCTTCTGGCTCTACCTCCAGGATCCTGGGACCAGAACCCAGCTTCCTCCCCAAGGCCAAGACACATCTGTGACTGAGGGTAGGGTGAGCCCAGGCTTCCTGCCTCTCCTCCCTCGAGCTCCATGCCAAGGACCGAGGGATCTCAGCCTCGGCACAAAGGGTCCCTTTTCCCACAAGCCCAAACCTGTGATGAAGCTGAAAAGGGACTGGATGTGAGCTCGGTCCTTGAAGTAGGAACGGCTCAGGCTGTTCCATATGACATCAGAGACTTTCTTCACCAGCTCCCGGCTAGAAACGCCCCCCTCTCGAGGGTAGAGAGACAGGTCCACAGCGCCACGGATCTGGGCCGTGAAGCGGGCATGGAGGGCTGCGATGATGGAGAGGTCAGCCACCGGGAAGTAGGTGAGGCCGCCCGGGGGGTCGGGGGCGGGGCTGGGCTGGAAGGTGAGCTCAGGCACATTGGTGGGGATCACTCTGTTGACAGCGAGGAAATGCTCCACAAAGCCCAGCACCAGGGACAGCAGCACCAGGTCGGGCTCCTCCCGGTTCAGCTCAGCTGCAAAAAGCCTCACCACATCGTCAATGGAGCGCAGAGGGAACAGGTTTTTCTGGGCAGCCTTCAGCCCCATGGTGACCTGGGCAGAGAAGAATGGAGGACTCTGGCCCTGTCATCGTGCCCAAGTGGGACCATCCCAAGGCCCACGTCCTCCCCCCAAGCTTCCCTGCTAGCCTTTACCCTCCCCACCTTTGGTCGGGGCGTTTGCCCATCGTCCTCCCCGCCTCCCCAAGTCATCAAACTTTCCTACTTGCCCTCCCTAAAGGCTTTGCTTCTCACTGCCCTCTCTGGAGTTCCCTTTATGACCTCCCCATCAACACATCCCAATTCACGACCTCCTCCCAATTCTCTTTACCTGCCCTGAGGAACCCTACGCTCAGGGGTCTCCACATCTTCCTTGTCTCCCCCTATCCCTTCACCTTTCCCTTCTCTGCAGGTATCACCTCACTCCAATTCCTGTCCCTCGTCTCACCTCCCCTTCCCTAAGAGTCTCATCATAACCTCTCCCATCCCTCTGCACTGCCCTCCCCGCCATTTATAGGACACAGGACTGATGAGAACCTTCACAGTCTCATTATATAGATATGGAAACTGAGACCCACTGAGAAAGGGCACTTGGTCAGCGGCAGAGGTGAGAAACAGAAATGGGACTGAGGCTGATGCTTTCATTCCAAAGCCTGAACTCTTTCTCCCTCTACCTCACTTCTGCTTCACACACCCTTTCCCTTGGTGTCTTGGATTTGAATTCTGGCTCGTGGGACATTAAGCAAATCCCTTCCTCTCTGACCTCAGCATCTTCAAGAGCACAACTGAGGGGGTATAACTCCTACAAACACACTCTTTTCCCCTCATTCCCTCTCCCTCTAAGGGAGAGAGATGCTTCTGCTCCCTTACTGGAGTCCCCACTCCTGCCCCTGGGGCCAAGGTGGCAGGATGGTGTGATACCACCCCCTTCCCACTCTCCCCAGGTGTGAGGCACCCCCTCTAGGCCCCTTAATAGAGAGGAAACTCCCTGAGGGAAGGAACTTTACTTTTTGTATAGTTCTCCTGGCATTTCAATGCCTGCTGAATTGGAGAAGAAAGAGCACTAGACCTCCCAACTGCCTACCTTGGGCAAATCCCTTGCTCTGCTCTGAGCCTCGGTTTCCCCATCAGTAAAACTAATAGGTCAAGTTAGATAACCTCAAAGGGCCCTTCTCGCTCTACATGGATAGATCCTAAGCCCAATTCAGGGACCCTTTCACCAGCTCCACCCTCTTTTTTCCAGTGCACCCCTCCCTAACACATACCCCTCTTTTGAGCACCAGGGGGCTCCCCCAGCAGCCCCTTCCCCATTCTTACATGACTTTTATGGGGGGGTACCTCTCCCCCTCCCCCATCACCCCAAGTTCCCTTCCCCTAAGACGACCCCTTCCCCTCCCCCAGGATCCTTCCCCCTCTGGTCACCCACGGCCCTCCTCCCCCTCAAAGACCCCTCCTTTGGCCTCTCCCCCACCCTTCCTCGGGATCCCTCCCCCGCCCCCTTCCTTCCTCTAAGACCCTGCCCCCTCCCCTGCCACTCCAAGCTTCCCTCCCCTGAGTCCCCTCCCCTTCCCCAGGACCCCAGCCCCTCTCTTCCCCCAGGATCCCAACGCCTCTCTGTTCACCCATGCCCCTCCCCTCCACGACCCCTCTCTTCACTTCCCCCCTAACCACCCTCCTCCACGACCCTACCCCCTCCTGTCACCCATGGCCCTCGACCCCTCCAGGACCCTTGCCTCCACTTCCCCCGGCCCATCCCCCACGACCCTCCCTTGTCACTTCAAGCCCCCTCCCCCTCCCTCGCACCTGCAGCTCCTCCCCCTCCCCTTGTTTCTGCTCCTCTCTCTCCTCACGGTCTGCTGCCCCCTCCCCCGTCCTCCTCGGGTCGGGCCAGAGTCCCAGTGGTCAGCTGCGACCCCTCCCCCGGGCCCCCAGCCCCCGGCCCCGCGCCCACCTCCGCTCGTACATCCCACACAAGGAGCTTGCCCAGGAGCCCGCGGGGCCCGGAGCATGCCGGGAGATGGAGTCCGCTCCGCCCAGCACCCGCGCGGAGCTTGCTGGGAGATGAAGTTCCCGCCGACCGCTGTCGCTCAAGCACAGGAACCCCACCCCGGAAGGCCACCTCGGGGCTCAGGGCGGAGCCGAAGGGGCTCTTGGGAAAAGCGGTTGGACTCACCTCGGTATCTCCAGGGCGGAAGGCGAACGCCGGAAGCACGTGTCTCTCCGCCACACTGGATTCTGGGAGTTGTAGTTTCGGCTGCTGACCGCGTTTAGAGGCGCGGGAACCTCAAGTGTCTCAGACTTTGAAGAGGATTGGGGAGGATTGTAGAGGGAGTTCAGGCCAACCCGTGCTTGACCAGGAACCCCTTCCCCCCTCACCTCCCACCCCATCCAGCCTCTGCTTGGAGACCTCCCAGGATGGGGAGCTCACTACCTCCAGAGGCAGCCCGACCTCCTTTTGCAATGCTTTGTTCGGCACATATTTTCTCCACCTCTCTGTAAGTGCCGCCCACTTCTCCTAGTTGTGCCCCCTGGGTCCCCGCCGCACGAGTGGACGAAAAGGAACAAATCCTCAATGATGAAATTTCAGGCAGCACAAAGGTCTGCCTTCCTCCCATCTCAGATGACCGACAAACCTGTCAATCAGCCCTTACTGATCGCCTGCTGTGTGCCAGGCACTCTGCTAAGCCCTGGGGATACAAAAAGAGGTAAAAGACAGGCCCTGCCCTCAAGGAGCTTACAGTCCAAAAGGGGAGACAACGTGCAAACAAACACATGCGAAGCGAGAGCCGCACATGGGACAAATAAGAAACATTCATTAGCAGAAGGAAGGCACTGGAATTGAGGGAGAGGGGAAAGGCTTCCTGGAGAAGGTGGGATTTTAGCTGGGACTTGAAGGAAGCCAGGGAGGTCAGTAGGTAGAGATGAGGAAGCAGAGATTGCTCAGGGAGGGGGAGACAGACAGTGAAAACACCAGCAGTCAGGAGACAGAGCAGCCAGGAGGCCAGTGTGGCTAGATTCAAGAGTCGGGTGTCAGCAGACTGGAAAGGGAGGAGGGGGCAGGTTAGGCAGGACTGTGAAGGCCAAACAGAGCGTTGGATTTGATCCTGGAGGCCAAAGGGAGCCCCTGCAGTTTGCAGTGTGGGGTGACATGGTCAGACCTGGGCTTCAGGAAAATCACTTTAGATGCTGAATGGAGTGGGGAGAGGCTTGAGGCAGGCAGTCCCCGCAGCAGCTATTACCGTAGTCCAGGTGTGAGGGAATGAAAGTCTGCACCAGGATGGGGGCAGTGTCACAGGAGAGAAGGGGGCGCGTTCGAGAGAAATTCCCAAGTTGAGAACAACAAGCCTTTACAAGAGCTCAGATACCGGCAGGAGTGTGAGAGAGAGAGCAATCTCAGGATTAGGTCGGGAGCCTGAAGAACTGGGAAGATGGGGGTGCCCTCTACAGTCACAGGGAAAGTGGGACAGGTGGAGGGTTCAGGGGCAAAAAAGATGATTGGATGTCATCGGGGCTGGGGCAGGAGAGGTGGATGTGAGAATCCTCGGCATAGAGATGGTCGTTAAATCTGTGGGAGCTGAGGAGGCCCCCAAGTGAAGCAGTCTAGAGGGAGAAGGGAGGAGGGCCCAGGCCAGAGACATGAGGGACCCCTGTGATTAGAGGGCAGGATCTGGAGGAGCATCCGGCCAAGGAAACAGAGGAGGAGTTGTCAGAGAGGGAGGAGGAGAACTTGAAGAGAAAGGCACCCCAGAAACTTCACGCTGAGTGGGGTTAGACTCAATGCCCCGAAACTGCTGGCAGCTCAGCCCTTCTGTGATCTAGGTTCAAAGGTGCCAAATGTAGATTCCACTTCTCTGTCTCTTGCATCCATCCCCTTCCCTCCAGTTATGTAGCGTCTGCCCTCCTTCCAGCCTTTGTGGTCTCATGCCTCCACTGTCCTGATGGCCTCCCTGCTTCCTGTGCTCATTCTCCAACCCAGCCTCCACTCAGCTGCCAAAGTGCCAAATCTCCTGCAGCTCTAAGCCCCCAGGGCCCCCAGGGCCCATTGCCTCTAGAATAAAAGGCTCAATGTCCTACCTGAGACTGAGGGGCCTCCACCAGCTGGCCCCCACCCTCCGTTTCAGGCAGACGTCATGACTATCCTTCCTAAACCCTCTGACTTACACATGTATGTTCCCAGTAAAACGTAAGCTCTTTGAGGGCAGAGATGGTTTCGTTTGTCGAACGCCTGATAGTTTGCGATATTCAAGCAGACCCCTTTCCCCCACCCCAGAACACACACACTCACACACACACAGAGTATTTCTTCACTAGATGTGATTTGGAGTGGTCTCTACAGGGCACAAGCCACCAGGTGGCGCTCAAAGCTTGGGCTACCCTGGCTCCCTGCGAGCAGCTCTGGGATGCAGCCTTACCTGCTGCTTAATAGCTGTCTGCACAATCCCTAGGGGTTTTGTTTGTTTGTTTGTTTTGTTTTTGTTTTTTTTAATCTAGAAAAATGTGTTGGAATAGATGATCCCCAAGGTCCCTTCTAGCTCCAACTCTGATCTCCTGAAATAAATCCTTAGAGAGTGGGGAGAAGCCAGACCATCACATCCCTCTCCCCAGCCGGCCAGACTACACTGGGCTTGGGAAGCATCCCCGTGGCTGAGATCTGGGACTTTCTCTCTTGGTCGAGCTAAGCTACCTTGCTCCCCGTGGGAGAGCTCCTTCTCTCCGTTGTCGGGCAGATACTGTCCTACATAGACTTTTTCTGACTTCTAATTTGCTGTTCATTTGGACGAGTGGTTTTCTTGACTAAGTGCTGAGTGGAACTGGTATTTGGTGGGAAAGGAGTCAAGCCTTGGATGTCAGGTTTGGGGTCCAGCTTCCCCCGATAATAAAACAGTGATCAGAAGTTAGCTTGAACCTGAAAAGCATATCCCCTAGACTATGTCGTTGTTCAGTTGTGTGACTCTTTGTCTCTTTGTGACTCTGTGGACCATTGCATGCCAATGCCGTCCATGGGGTTTTCTTGGCAAAAACACTCGCTTGGTTTGCCATTTCCTTCTCCAGTGGATTAAGGCAAACAGAGGTTAAGTGACTTGTCCAGGGTCACACAGCTAGTGTCTGAGGTCACATCTGAACTCAGGTCTTCCTGACTCCAGGGCCTCCAACATGTAAAGGAGCAGATAATTCTAGCCCCAATTGCCGGGTTCCCCTCCTGGCAGGAATTAAAGTCTCCCTTGGAGAAGGGTGGGAAGAGAAGGGAGAGAGATGTCCATGCCCCTGGAGCAGCACAACTCCCCCACACTACACGTGAGCAGACAGCTCCCATGCCACATGCAGGGGCTGGCAACATTTTGATTAGCCATGGAAGCCGTGGACGTATACTCTGTGTCCCTATCTTTGCTACTCTTGAAAGTGCTCCTGTGAAGGTTCTGGGGCATGTGGGTGTATACACCCAAGGTACACTGGGTACACTTCTATCTTTGACTTCCTTGGGGAATGCCTGCCTGCTTATCAGTGGGAGCTCTGTGTGGCCCCAAGTAATTCACTCACCCTGCATTTAGATTATCAAAGAATCACTATCGGTGGGATCAGAAGTAAAATGTAGCAATCTCTTTCCCGGCCCCTGGGACTGGCTCCTAGCTGATGTCCAGGGGAATCAGGGAAGGGCTCCAAAACACCTCCCCTGGCCCAGCCTCCTCCGCTACATCTCTGGTCAGTGAGAAGCGGACACGCCCCGCCCCCAAAGTCAAAGAGCTGGAAACTGACGGTCAAAGCGCTCACAGCCGCCCCAACCCCCCATCCCCAGGGATTCCAGAGATCCAGAAAAGGCAAGGGAAGGTGAGGGAAGCCTGAGTGGCAGAGGGCTTCATGCCTAGCCTAGCGCAGGGCCCTCTTCTCCACCCCTCTGCCCTTGGCCCCATCCATGCCCAGGTTCACTTAAAGCCTGATGGGAGGCACTGGTGGGAAGAAGCAGCTGATTTATGACCGGCCCTTCCCCCCCAACACACACACACCCAGGGCGCGGTGGAGGGAGAGGCCAAAAGGCAGCTTATAAAGACATCTTTATTAGATTTCTTTTGTCACATCAAATATTGCTGTTGGTCCTTCCACAAACAGTATCATCAGATAAATACTCGGCTTGTCCCCCTGACTGAGACAACAGGAGGTTTAAAAATAATAATAATAATAATTATAATAATAATAACCACAATAACAATAATGAAATTCCCCCCATATAGCTCCCTAATACAGAGTTATCTGAAACTTTGAGAAGTCCCCCTCTCTCCAAATAAAGGGTTAGATAGTCCAAATCAGAACGGATCCCGCAGCACCCCTTATTCCCCTCCCCCACAGCCCTCCCCATCCCACACAATTTAGCCCCTTCCCTGAACTCCTCTCCCCTCCCCCATCATCTCCACCTCCAGGCTTGGATGATGGGAAGCTCCCTCCAGCCCCGCTCCAGGGGAGCCCCGCCCCTTTTCGGTCCTACCTGCTTTTTCTCCATCACTCTTCTGCCTCCCCACACCCCCAGCACCATGCTGCTCCTCCTCCTCTCCTCCACGCCTCCACCCTTTTCTAACACTTCCTTTCTCCCCTTTTCTCCACGGTCCACCTCCTCCCTCTTTCTTTTGTCCCGTCTCTTCCTCTAGTCCTTCTCTCCTCCTGGCCCTCTCGTGGGATTGTGGGATCCTAGGACTTAGATCTGGAATCACCTCGGAGACGCCAAGGCCCAGGGAGGCGAGGGGACTAGCCCTTAGCACACAGTGCCGGGCACACAGTAGGCGCTTCCTAAGTGTTGACTGACTGATGGTCCCGGATCCTGCGTCCAAATCCAATCGTCTCCCCGCGCTCCAGCTTTTCTCCCGGCGCCCCTCTTCCCCCTTCTCTGTCTCTCCCTAGCCCCATTTCTTTCTCTTCCTCTCCCTTCCTTGTCTCACCTAAGTCCCCACGTCTGCCTCATTCTCTCAGGATGTTGTCTCCCGGGGTTCTCGCTCTTCCCATGCCCCTCGGGCTCCGCCTCATTTATACCCGGGCAGAGGAGGCGGGGCCAGCAGCTGACAGGACCCGTTGCCCCCCTTCCCCTCCACCCCCCCAAACATGCCAGCTGGGACTCCTCCTTCCACTCCCCAAAGTGTGGCTCTTCCCTTCTCCTGGATACCCCCACCCTTCTGTCCCAAGAGCACCCACCGATGCCCAGGGCCCAGGCACAAGCTGGATCCCCCCACCGGGCGCTGAGCAGGCGCTCTGGGCACGGAGCAGGGGAGGTGGGATGCTTGGCTGACCCTGTGGACTGGGCTGGGTGGATGAGGAGAGGTTGGACATTGGGATCACAGGGCTCGAGCCGCCCCTGGTCTGGGAGCTCTGGGAGGATCCAGCTGCCTGAGCCTGGACCCTACTGCGGTCATCCCTTCCTGCACACCACCCCGGCCAGCAGGGGGCGCCCCAGCCCCTTCCTGGGTCCAAAACACTCCACTGGTGGTCACTTTTCTCCTTCCATTGCCCCCCCTGGAGCTGGCGTGGGGAGGGGCCGGTATTCCCAGCCAGGGTGGCTCAGCGGGAGCTCTCTGATTCAGGGGCCGGGGGAAGGCTCCGGGGACGGTCTGAGATCTGAGAGGGGGAGGCGGGGGCTCAGGGAGAGAGATCAACAGGCAGGACCCCACCCCTCACCCCAGGTCCCTCCCTGTGGCCACAGGAAAGGTCTCCCCCCCCACCCCTCCTACGTCCCCATGGGGACCCTGGGCTGGGCCTCCTCTGCCAGAACAAAGGTCTTCCCAGGATGCAGGGATAGGGATCCCCAGGCTGGGCAGTGGACAGATTGTCTGAACCGACACTCAGAGCTCAAAGTCTAAAAGGAGATTCTTTTTGTGAAACCTCCTTAAAAGAACAGAAATCTATACTGTTCTGGGACATCAGGGCAGTGTAGACCAATGGTAAGTACACTGGACAAGAAGTTTGTTTTAACCTTGGCCCTGTGACCTTAGGCAAGTTACCTCCCCTTCCAGGCCTCAGTTTCTCCCTTTAAAGCAAGGGGGTTCAACTGGTTCCCTTCCAATTCCAATGTTCCATGTGCTAAGGACCCTCTTAGAGCTGATACTCCATGGTCTAAGGCCCCTCCTACATCTAGGAGTCTATGTTCCGTGTGTTAAGGACCCTCTTAGAGCTGATATTCCACGTTCTAAAACCTTTCTTCAAATTCTTACATTCTGTATCCTGAGACCCTTTGAGCTCTGAAATTTTCTGCTCCAAGACCCTAGCCAATGCTAACATGCCTAAAGGCGACACACATCCATGGGGTGATTATCAGGGAGAAAAGGTTCTCCGAGGGGAGCCTCTGCCTCAGTTTGGGAAGAGTGGCCAGACAGAGCACAGAGCCGTCTGGATCATGTCCAGCCTGGAACTCTTGCCTCACCCCAGCTCCTCACCTGGCTCAAAGAGGTCGCTGGACTCAGGGGGCCCTGGCTACAGGACACCGACTCGCTGGAGAGGGACGACCTGGGCTTCCTCCTCACTGCGGAAAGAGGGCCATGATGAGCGGCGACGCCGTGCCGGGGCCAGGGTCACTCCTAGGGAAGCCGGGTGAGCTCCAGATCTTTGGGCCCAGGCCAGGAGGGAAGGGACTGGACGAAAAGGAAGCAGGCCCTTACCGGAGTCTGCGTCTGACACGAGGACCTCACTGCCCATGGAGGCGGGCCGCCGGGGAGCCTCCGAAAAGCTGTGGGGCCTCGCGGGGCCACGACCGCGGCCTCCTCCACGGCCCTTGTCGTCAGGAGCCTGGAGGAAAGGGGCTCCGTGTCAAGAGGAAAGATCCCTCCCTGGATGCTGAGCTCCATTCTCCACCCAGCCACTGGCACAGGCTGCCTGCCCATCCAAGAGCCTACTATGTGCCAGGTACTGGGAATACAAGCCAATCTGTCAACCAGCATCTGTCAGTCTCCTGTTGGGCCCTGGGGATGCCAAGTCCAACCATCCCTGCCCTCAGGAGCTTCTGCTCCTTCCTGCTCCCATCACTCAGCACAAACAAAACCAGAACATAGTGGAGAGAGCCCTAGGCAGACGTCAGAGCCAGTTTGGAAACCAGGTGCCTGACTCGGGGCAAGTCACCAGCCTATGTGGAGCCCGATTCCCTCCTGGGTCTGACGCTGGGACTGGGTCATCTCTACACTCTCCTTTGACCCTAAGGCCAAGGCCTTGAACAAGAACAGAACCTTAAACCTGGAAGTGACCCCAGAGGTCATCCAGAACAATGCTTTCATTTTACAGATGGGGACATGGATCCCCAGGGAGAATGACTTGTCCAAGGTCACTGGAGTAGCAAGTGAACCCAGGTCTTGTGACTCCAGATTTTGTGCTCTTCCCATTACACTTAAAAGGATTTGTTCTGGGAAGTTTGGATTCAGTCGTAGAGCCACACTTGAAGACCTAGAGGGCCACATGTGGCCGTGAGGCCACAGGCTTCCCCCCTGCACTGGCGTCTAGGGAGGTATATAGAGAGTGCCGAGCCCTCCGCTACAGTGGACCCCTCAGAACAGCCTCTGCCCACCCCTCCCTTCTGGGCCCCTCTAGGGCACACCGGGGATGGGCCCAGTGGGCTTCTGACCCCGCCCTCACACCCTTCCTCCCACACCCCACAAGACACGAGCCATGAGCTCTCTCCATCCCTGGAGCCCCCAGCTACCTGGCCACTCACCAAGGGCAGCTCTGGCCTCCCATCCCCAGGACCCATGTGGGCCAGGTGGCTGAAGTTCGTTGGTGGAGAGATGAGCTTAGAGCGCACAAAGGGGTCCTTCAGCATCTCCCTGGAAGGATGGCAGAGTGGGGGCTGAGGAGCGTGCAGCCCCCCACGCCCTCCTGCAGGGAGGCCCCTAACCCCAGGAAAGGGACAGCTCCCAAGGGCTGCAGGACTGTCTGGGCTTTGACGGAAGCCCAGGTGGAAAGAAGCAGGTGGGCTGGGGTCGCGGGCCGGGGACCGCCGCCCGCCCGGGGGCTGGGATCGCGGGCCGCCCCCCCGGGGGCTGGGGTCGCGGGCCGCCCGCCCGGGGCCTGGGGCGGCGGGTCCGGCTGGCCTCTACCTGCGCTGCTGCTGGCGCTGCTCCTCAGAGACTCGGAAATAAAAGCGACGTTTGCTCTTGGTCCGGAACAGCTGGCGCCGGCTGTTGTCAGTCAGGTCGGGGATGTCAAACTCATCCTTCTCTGTAACAGCAACCCTCCCGCTTCAGGAACCCCTGGGTGAACGCGGGAGCCCTGGCGGCCAGGGACCCTCTCTGAGCTCTGCTGGGGGCCCCTGGGGAGCCACGTCGCCGTCACGGCAGAGGGAGCCTCAGGACGCCCCTGCCCGAGCATCCAGCCGGGCAGCTCGGGTTGGGCTGTTTTTGGTCTAGACCTGTTATTTCATCAATTCAGAAAGTCCGTCCACTCGTGTAGATGTGGCCGCTTAGTAGTCTGAGAGAGGCCTCAGACCTTGCCCCGGGTCACTCAGCTAGGCAGGGGCAGAGACCGGATCTCTCTCTTCCTGACTCCAGGGCCAGCCCTCCAGCCTCTCAGCGGGTAAGGCATCACTGGATCATTCCTCCCATTTCACAGGAGGAAAACTGAGGCTCAGAGAGGGGAACCAGCTCACCTGAGATCATACAGCTAGGATGGGGCAGAGCTGTGGCTCGGACCCGGGTCCTGCCTCTGACTGCAGCTGACTGCCAGTGTACCCTGGTGCATCTCGGGGAAGGGGAATGGCGCGTGGCTAAGGCCCTGGCCCGAGGGGCTTCCAGTGGGGGCCCAGGGAGAGTGCCCATTGGCTCGCCCACACGCACAGCTGCACTCACCCGCCAGCCGATTCCTGAGGTAGGTCAGTCGGACTTTCTCGGAGCCATAGAGACAAAGGGAGCCCTCAGGGTTCAGGGGGCGGACCTGAGGAAGTGTGGCACAGAGCGCAGGACCAGAGACTTACCGTTGGAAGGGAGGGACCCTCTCGTTTTACGGGAAAGGACACTGAGGCCCAGAGAGGACAGGGGACTTGGGAGGGCCGCCCAGGGGGGATCTGGACTTCGGTGGTCGTGGGTCCAGCATCCTCAGCTCACTCCCTCGGATACAGACCAGCCCCAGGAGCCCCCGGCACCAGCCCTGTCCCTGGAGGACTCAGGGATCACCCCTTCCGCATGTCTGGGGGGCTCGGCAGCCACACCTTCTTGAGCGGCACAGATTGGACCCACTCTGCCTTCCGAACATCAAACACATCGATGGCATTCTCGCTGAACACTGTCAGGTAGGGGGCCGTGTAGCCTGGTGGTTGGAGGTAGAGGGGGAGAAGGGGGGCGTTTTCACCCCGATTATTACTGTTAACAGCAGCTCCCATCTCCAGCACCCTCCTCACACCAGCCCTGGGAAGGTTCAGGCATTATTATGCCCATTTCATGGAGGAGGAAAACATGGATTTGCGAGCAGATCCTCCCCAAGGCTCTGTCTCTGCTGGCCCTCCCCTGTTCTCGTGCTCGCCCCTCGGCCCTGATGCCCCGACTCACCCCAGCCTGTGGGGGCCACAGGCCAGAGCAGCTCCTGACTCCTGGACTTCTTTCCTGTCCTGTCCACATAGACGCCCGCCGTGGAGAGGAGGAGCAGGAACTCACTGAGGCTGAGCTCGACGGCGCCCAGCGCCTCACTGGGGCCCAGCCCCTCGGTAGCCAGCCCCGAGCCCAGCACCAGAGGGGCCGCCTCATTGAGCAGCGGGTAGAGGGCGAAGGCTCCGGCTGCCCCCACGCACAGCCGGTCACCCACCAGCGCCAGGCTCTGCACCGGCCCAGGCACCTGCAGTTCTCGGATGCGCCGGTGCCAGGGCCCGGGGCCAGGCCCCAGCTGGTAGCAGAGGACCTGCCGCTTGACGGCCACGCAGAGTACGGCTGTGCTGGCCTGCAAGACCCGGCCCGCTGCCAGGCTCTGACAGCCCCTGGACTCGGTGATCTTGGCCCCCGCCGCCTCGCTGCTCTCCAGCTCGTCCAGGGCGAAAAGGCGGACGCTGGGGCCGCGGCCGCACAGTACGGCCAGGAGCCCTGCGGGCTGACTGACTGCCAGGCGCTGGACCCGCTTACACTCGCCCACCTGGAAGATATCTGAGGAAGGGGGACCGGCGGTGAGCCTAGACCGTGGCCGTCGCTCCTGGCCCCCCGCCGCTCTGGCCCCACTCCCGGTATGTCCCCATCAGCCCTGGCTCCTGGCTCCTGGCTCGGCCACCAGCCTCCACACCCTGCCCTGGCCTCACCGTTGCTGTGCAGGTGAATGACATAGAGCCCTTCTTCGGTGCCCAGGGCCAGGCGCTCCTGGTCTGGAGGAAGGAGGAGAAAAGGGAGCCCCCGGTGAAGGAGCTGTCGTGCTCCAGGGGCCCTGGTCACTTCCCTGCCCACACCTGGCTCCCACCTTAGTCCCCTCCCAGGAGGCCCTGGCCTCTGGGAGCACCTGCTCAGCGCCCCCTCTGCAGGCCAGAGGAGCAAAGGGGCTCGGCTTGAATCCTGACTCTGGCCAACCCTTGGGAACATCTGGGCCATCATTTAACTAGTTGGTTTCTTCCTCTGCAGACGGGCAGGATCTGTCTTCCCTGATGGGCAGAGGCAGTTTGTATAAAGAGCCTCTCATGTTTAAAGAGCACTGCACCGGCCTTTTCCTCTGCTTTTTGGAGCAAGTGATGAGGATCAGGTAAGATGGCAGACCCCAAGCGCTCTGTAAACCGCTGGACAGATGGGAGTTTAACACTGCCTCCTCCCAGAATCTGGCTCTCAGGCTCTTAGATCATCTCTCTACTCGCTTCATTTTACAGAAGGGGAAACTGAGGTCCAGAGAAGGACGACTCAGGAGACCTGGGACTCCTGCTTCCCATTCCTGGACCCTTTCCTTTGTACCCACCTGAAGACAGCCCTGAGGGTGGTGAGCCTCCTGGCTCCACCTCTCAGAGGGTGCGTGGGTCCGTGGTGCCCCTCTCCCCATTGGCCGTGCCCAGGCTGGCCTT